GGCCTCCACTCTGACAGTGATAGAGAGAGAGACTTGCCTCCATATGTAGTGAATCTGAAGACCACCACCAGTATGCAGTCCACATGTACCATTTCCAGTATTCCAGAAAATTCCCTTTTAGGCACAAATATGGTAAACAGTCACCAACCAGTGCTGGGAAAAAAACAACCTACGCACATGTGTGGGAGTGTTTATTGTAAATTTTACCATTATAAAAGATAGAAGACACCTTATACAAATAATAATCAAATACATGATACTCTGTACTGTAAACTCCATACAGCCAATTGATGCTCAAAGAAATCCTTCTGTTGATTTTTACCAAGTTCTTACATCTGTAGCCAGTCTTTGGTTGCAATGGGTCAACAAGCATAGTTCTGACATGAATGTTGATTTTTAAAAAAAATTTTTTTAATTTTTTTTTAATGTTTTATTTATTTCTAGGAGAGAGAGAGAGAGACAGCGTGAGCAGGGGAGGGTCAGAGAGAGAGGGAGTCACAGCATCCGAAACAGGCTCCAGGCTCTGAGCTGGCAGTCAGCACAGAGCCCGACGTGGGTCTCCAGCCCACAAACCGTGAGATCATGACCTGAGTTGAAGTCGGACGCCTAACTGACTGAGCCACCCCGGCGCCCCTTAATGAGTAATACAAATGTCAAACAACTCCTCTGTGTTGAAACTTCACTTGGATAAATTGGATAATAGTTTTCAAATATTTGAAAGAACTATTTCAAGTCTTTGTGTTATTCGCAATGTAATGGCAATAGATGACAACTTATAATCGGCATTATTAATACTTTCTCCATCACTTTCTTGTCTAGATAATCAACAAAACTATCAGTCAAGTCCTAGTTTATACTATTTGCTGATTTCTACAGTGTAAACAGCTCTATCACAGCCAGTCTCAAGCTATCATGATGTCATTGAACCGACTAGGAAAGACAGGTGTGGTAACACATCATTGTGTGGCATTTCCAACCTACAGGCACAATAAACACAAATCACTGCTACAACAAAGATAATCGAATGTAGTAAAATAATTGAGAAGTGATGAATTTTGAATACTTGTTACTTTTCTTTTTGATATGATTTATTCTCAGCATAAAATCTATTATTTCTTAACATGTCAAGAGAGTAAATCTTTGCCCAGAAGGAGGAAAGTTGGCCTGTGTGTTCTCATCTCAGTAACAGGAGGCTGAGTGTACGCTGGGAACGTCAGAGTGACAGCCATCAAGCAACCAGAAACAGGACCCAGTTCCTGCCCAAGGGCTTATAACAAAGGCTCCAACTAGGCTTTTTTCCAAAAATGTTTTTAATTCCAACATCCATCTTAATGGCTTACTGTAGACTAATTTAGCCAGTAGTTTATTCTACTAAAAATGGAAGCTAATGATTTCAGCTAAAAACAACTAAGCCAGTACCATCAAAGTGTATCGTAAGAAACTGATTATCACAGGCATTTGTTGCCCACTTCCTTCTCCCTACAGAAAGGCTTAATAAGATTCCCACAGCAAGAGCAAAAGGCTTACTTCCTCCCTTGGGACCCACAGTTATGAATGTGTTCTCTAGAGGGCATCTTAACACCACCCCCCCTCCGCCCCCAACCAGAGCTCTTCAAAGACTCATCTCATGCAGGGAGCGAGGTCCCACTAAAGAGTATCGCCTGCTAATACTGGTCATATTAGTGCCATTTGGCAAATATTGATGACATCACCCTATTTCTCTTGAACGCCCACCAGTACTCAGCTTGGTGCCACATAGCTCAGCACACTTTATCCTTTCCAAAATACGTAGATTTTGAAAAGAGGCATAACTTCTAAGAAAGATCAGTCATACCACTTACCTGTCCATCTGGAAGAAATCTAGCCCCAAAAAAGGGGTGGGGGGGGTGCCTGAGTGGTTCAGTTGACTCTGCATCAGACTCTTGATTTTGGCTCAGGTCATGATCCCGCAGTCATGAGACCAAGCCCCGAGTTGGGCTCTGTCCTGGATGTGGAGCCTTCTTAAGATTCTCTCCTTCTCCCTCTGCCCCTCTCCTCCACTCACTCGCTCTCTCTCACTCAAAAAAAAAAAAAAAAAAAAAAAAAAGTTTTCAGGTGCCACTGTTTGAATTAACCAGGAATTCTGATTGGGTAAGCACATTCAACACAATTATGGCATGATTAAATATTTTAACTGGCAATAATTCAAGCATAATGCAGATTTCTTGATTCAGATTCAATCCATTTGATGCATATACCCTGAAACCTTATGACACTAGTTTTTGTAAAATGAAATGTGTCACAAAAAGCCACCTGGAATGGGAAATTACTGAAGGGACTTGTTACAAAAGAATCTTAGTTATTAGGCAATTAGGATAAAATTCCTGAGAATATTTACAAAGCCTGCCTGGGGCATGACCTTGATGAAATGTTTTTAATTTTATAATTTTTGGAAACAATGAAAGGAATGGTTAGCTTTTGTCTTCCTCTGAGGACTCTGCACTTTGCTACAGAGACTGCTAAACTGAATGATTTTAATTCAGGGCACTAGTTTTAGTACCAGCTTAGAATTTTCCAGCTTGTGACTTGCCAACAAATTTCCCATTTCCATCTAGTGTTGGGAAGCATGTTCCCGTACCATCTTCAGGATTCTGACAGAAGGGGCTTCTCAGGCTAGGTTAAGAGCTTAGAGACAAGGTGCTAAAAAAAGATGTGTTCCGTTGCCCCTGGCTTATGCACCTGCATCCGCACATGCGCACACTTCCGTGAATTCTTTCTATGGCTGCCATCTTTAATTGCCGCCCTCTGGCTATAGCTATACAAGCTGGCCCCTTCTCCCAGGCCCAGCCACCCCCAGAATGGAGGAATGAACATAGCAGAGTTCTAGGACTGAGACCCATGTTGCTATATTTTGGGACCCATGCAAGTCTTACTGCTGCCTCTACTCACTGGTGTGGGCTCACCCTCATGGCTTAATAGCGTATTTTATTATTTTAGGTTTATTTATTTTGAGAGAGAGACAGCATGAGTGGGAGGGGCAGAGAGAATCCCAAGCAGTCTCTGTACTATCAGCGCCGAGACCAACGGTGGGGGCGGGGGTTCAAACCCCAAAACGGTGAAATCATGATCTGAGCTGAAACCAAGAGTCGGAGGGTTAACTGAGCCACCCAGGTGCCCCAATGAATAACATATTTTAGGTAAACACAGTGGCATGTGATTGAGCAAATAACCTCCCTTATATACCTTAGAGTCTCTGGGATTAAATACCCAATTTATCAGAACAGATTAGCCAAGGGGAAAATAATGCGACATTTTATCCCAAGAAACTCATCCCACCAAATTAGTGTATCAAAAAGAAATTGAGAGAAAAAAACCCACCTATTTTCAAGATCAGCTGAACATGTAAATGACCTACTATGACTTTAGGATTGTGGATATAATGTATCTTCTCACAGGCTTAATTTGGGCAACTTGGAGCAGAAAACCCACTTTCTCTTCTATCTACATAGCCATTGTCTAAATAAGCTCAGTCATAAAGAAAACTTTAATGAAATCCTAGAGAAATGTCACATTCTGTTCATGGAATTACTGGGCAAGGATGTGTACTCTGAGGTACTATCAGGAAGTCAAGAGTATTTACTATTTAATCAGCACCAACAAGTCACTGATACACATTTTTTTAAGTAGGCTCCACATCCCACGTGGGGCTTGAATCATGACCCTGAGATCAAGAGTTGGATGCTCTACCAACTGAGTCACCCAGGCGGATGTACATTTAAAAGGCTTTTAACAATGAGTTTCATTTCTCTGATATGAAGTAAATATTCTTTGAGAGCAAATATTTCTTCTAATTTAAAAAAGGCAAGTAGTTCCAGAATGCACATTCTTCAGAACAGTTTCTTCCTTCTGTGCTATCCATACAGGGAGCCGGGCCTTACAAGGACCCTGGCCAAGCTGAACCCGCTTGGCGTCACAGCGCCTGCGTGTTTCCCATACAGGCTGATTCATCAATTAAAGCCAGGTCTGCGCCTCCGCGCAGCATAAAGGAGCTGCCAGCGGCTCGTGGCTAATTACCAGGGCAAACGTGTGTATTTCAAAGTTGGCAAATAGGAAAACTGTTCTCAAAGACTATTAGCTCTGACACGAGCAGTCGTTGATTTTGTCCTACCCAATGCTCCCCTTGAGTATGATCCTCCCCCACCTTTGGTTAATAACAGTCAAAGGTAACACTTCTCAGGATAACAAATGCCCTGGGCAGTGATCCCAATAACTCCCCCTTTGTCTGTCCCTACAAAGGCCGGGCTGGTCCCCTTCAGAATTCAGGAGATTATTCCAGACAGCCCAGTCACTGTTGATTCAGAGGTTGCCTTAACAAATGGGGGGTTTCAGAAACCCTAGCAAGAGCTCCTGAGCTGGAGCTTTCTGTAACATCTCCGTAATAATATGTATTTGACTGTGAAACAGGCCCTCAGCGTGACTGAAGCGGGGCAAATGGCTGGGACCCTAACCCCCCTTCCAGTGCCATCTCACCAACCCAGAGAATTCACTTCACTGTAGGACTCAGTCTACCTTGAATCGAATCCCCCAAGAGCTGACAAAAACAGCCAAGTATCTATGCCTTGTACCTTTCTCTGGAAATACAATCTACCAATAGGAAAACCAATTTGGAAAAACAAAAACAAAAACCATGGACGTTACTCAAATTTCAGAGCTGTTATCAATGTGGGAAAATCATGAACTAAAATGGATGGCATGTTTTTTTTCTTGTGTTGCAAAGAAAATTCCTATTTAATAATTTTGATTATTAACTTGTATTTGTTTTAAGACAGCATGAATCAAATAGTTAAAACCCTAATGATGTGATAATATTTATCAACATGGTAAATCCTGAATATAGGAGATCTATGATTCTTCTAATACTTCCACTTTATGAACTGGCTTTAAAAACATCAAAGACATGCTCTTTTGAAGAACAAAGTTTTCGGGCTTGGAGGAAAGAGACGGTAATCATTACAAATTCATTACGGATCCATCAGAGATTTTTTTAATCCATTTAAATCCAAGTAAAGGAGATCAGATTCTGATCTTATATTATTTCTACATTTTTAGAACAACTTTTCACTCACAAATTCAAGGTTACAATGGCATTAAAAATATCCACAGGAAAAGACTGGCAAGAGATAGACGTATATGATTAATTGTTGTTGCATTAGAGTGGTTATTTCTTTTTCCTCTATTTTTCAAATTTCCAAGAGCAAGGTTCCATCATTTTTATGATAAAAATTAAAACTTAAGAATTCAAGATTACAAAGCATAGCTGACTTTATAAAATAATTCTTCAAACAAATGGGCAGAAGACATTCAAACCAAATAAAGATGATGCTCCATGGAAAGTTTCCCTAGGGTCCTGGGACAGCTTTAAAGATGAAGCCCGTTGTTAGTATTTCCCGGCATCACAGTCCTTGGGGACCGGAAGCAGTGAGAGGCCCCCCTTCTTGTGGTACCGCAGATCCTCACCAGGCAAGTATGACCCATGCTGGGTTGCTACAGGTTTATTAGCCTTGTGTGCCTGGGGAATCTTAACGCACTTTTGGAATCTGTACTCGATTTGGTTTTATGGTGAGGAAAGTGAGGTTCACACATAAGTACCGAAATGACCGATTATTGGTGACATCACCATTAACTGCTGCAAAAGCAGCCATTATAGGCAACCATACCACCTCATTATTGGCATTCTGTAACCCACGGGCTTAGAGAAAGATTAGGTAACAGTTCCTTTTCAAACTATATTTCCTTTACTCAAGTCTGTTCCCTTAAAAAACAAGGACAACTCGATGCACAAGACTGTAAACGGATCTCATTCACACTGACGGCCCACAGAGGGGACTCTCCATTAATTACCCTTGCAGGTTTTTTGAGCAATAAAATGAAAATCTGTATTTAAAATACGTGTGCATCCATTAAGATAAATGTTTAAAACTTGTTTTTTAAATAGCCCAGTGGACATTCCAAACTGGTAACTTTATCCAGATTTGGGGGGGGGAGGGGTATATAAATGCTTCCTGTATTAGTATGTAAAATAGAAAACCCCAATAAGGCTTTCAGAGTCTGTTCCTCAAGAAATCACACAATTGGTGTCCAAAGGCTGTACAGATACCAATGTAACTTTCTTCCTTGATCTCTGAATGCATCTCCTCCACAACGGAGGTATCTGGGGGGTGGGCATTTGCCTAATCCCACGGGGTCCTCTGGCTGGGGTCACAGCTGCTGGCTGGCGAAGAAGGATTTAGTCTCCCTGCAGACAGGATTTACACAGAGCGGACAACTCAGAGTCAACTGCTTGGAGCACAGCTCGTTTGACTGGATGTGTGAGAGCACCAAATCGGCCAGGGCCTGGAAGACGGGCGACAAGAGGCAAAGATTCCTCAGAAGCAGCAAGTCTGCCCTCTCCCCACGCGCCTCCCTCCCCCTCCCATCTGCCCAGATAATCACGATGGCTGGGGGTTTCTTTTCGTCTGAATTATGGCTGCTTTGAACTGGATTCTGTAATATCTCCGTTTCCTAAGGATCCTCGGCTTAGAGAAAAGTTAAAATAGAGATTTTAGAGAAGAAAATCCTCTTACCCCACCTGCTAAACCTTGCCTCTGAAAGGCAGATCTTAAATCAGACATAGTTATAGGTGGGTAGAAAATAAGAACATCGGGACTATCTAAAGGAAAAAAGAGCAAAGAGCATAAGGAAGTCGATTTTATTTTTGTAATTAATTGGAACTCAAAATGTTCTAATATGTGAGAAAACCAATATTCTGTAAGAGTTTCTCAGAGGATTACTCTCCGATATGTTCTACGAAAATGGTTGCAACGGTATAGATACCTTGGAGAACAATGGATTTCCATTAAGAGACTCTGCTCTTCTGATGTTTTCGACTCCACACTGAATCAAATGAGAAAGAGAGGGAAACACACATACACATTTTATTTTCTTTTTTTTTTTTTAAAGAAACCGCTATAAAAAAGTATACATAGATACACACACAACTTAAAGTCTTACTTCCAAAGTGTTCCCAGACTGCTCAGAAATGAAAACAGTCATGGGACGACACGGATGTTGATTTTCACCTCTGTTATCATAAAACTGCTCGCAAGTTCTATTCCTTCCCCCACCCCATTACCTTCCCGTAGGTGCTTAGCTTCCAAACCGTTTTTGAGGCTGTATTTGACAGAATTCTCAAGTCGTTCAAATCTGCTTACCATTCTTTTTTAAATCTACCTTTCTGCTGCATACTTTTACAGACTCTACCTAAGCAGAATGTTGCTTTAATTAAATAAATCTTTATGCCTGTTTTGATTCCAATTGCCAAAAGAGGTAAATTAATTTAATGTATATTGAACCTAGATGGAATCCAAGGCAGAGTTGGATTAATACATACGTACACAGAGAAATCCAGAATAAAACCTAAGGACGGTTTCACTGTCATCCTTGCTTCCCTCCCCCAAAATACCCAGTTGATTATCCCCCAAATAATTAAGAAATATCTAATTATTGGTCACTCAGGTAGTCAAGATCTTCTCTTTCTAAAACGCGCTGGCTTTTTCTGTTGCTTTATCTTTCAAGTTAACGTTAGCTGGCAAGGGAGAACAGTGAGATTCAGCAAATACATAGTTCTCAACTTAAAAAGAGACTATATTGGAAAATGTCACATGGAAGTCAGCAATGGCAGGATGGCCAACACCAGCAATGGCCTTTAACACTGTTCACAGGAGAGTTAAGGATACAACCCTGGAGGGCAACCCAGCAAAATATCTACCACTGTTTAAATTCCATTTCTAGGAATTTTTCCTAAGAAAATAATTGGAAAAAGAGAAAGAAAATGATGTTTATTACAGAGCAGTTAGGAAAATACAAAGTTGGAAACATCTTAAATGTATACTGATCAAGGATTTGTTAAAAACAATTATACGGGGGCGCCTGGGTGGCTTAGTCGGTTAAGCGTCCGACTTTCGCTTAGGTCATGATCTCGCAGTTCGTGGGTTCGAGCCCCGCGTCAGGCTCTGTGCTGACTGCCAGCTCAGAGCCTGGAGCCTGTTTCAGTCTGTGACTCCCTCTCTCTCTGACCGTCCCCTGCTCACGCTATCTCTCTCTCTCTCTCTCCTAGAAATAAAAAAAAAAAAAGGTAACCTATTAAAAAAAAAAATTATACGGATCTAACTACATTTATTGACTTGGGTCTGTAACATTTTTAAGGGAAAAAAAGATTACAAAACGGTATGAATAAAATACCATTTTTGTTAAACATGTAGGGGAATACCATTTTTATTAAAGTACACATACATTTAGAGAAAAAAGGGGACTTCATTTTATCAAAACATTAACTTACTATCTCTCAATGTGATGCTTCTCTGAACTGTCTGAGCTGTTTATTATTTTTATTATCGATAAGCAACAATTTCATCTTGGGGGAAAAATTTCAAACTACTTTTTAAATAAAGTCATTTTAAACACAGCATATTCTCCCATCAAAACAATGAAGTAAACCGTAGCCAGATGGGTTTCTTTATTCTCTCTATGGACTAATCTATTCGTCACTAATAATCCATTTGATTACTAAGGAATAATCTCAGTTTAGTAATATTAATGAGTGTGAATCATCATGCGATACAAAACCTATTTTCCAAATACGCTAGTATGAACTATATTTGCACGTTAAGTCTCTTTGAGGAGCGAGCTCACGACTAGCCAAGGTCATGGTGGGATACGGACGGCACCATTACATGAAGTCCACAGACAATGCTGCAACTTCATGTCAGCCAATTACAACTTTCCCATCAATTCTCTATCAGAACTATTGACACCCTCTAATTTCCTCAACATTCGATGACCAGCGTGCATAAACAGAAACCTGTGGGGTTAGGTGCAGCTCCTCGAGCCGCTCTTACCCTGCCCCATGCCTGCTACCCATTCTCAGGCCAGGAGAGGCTGAAGTAGCCTCTGAGGCCAAGCCTCCATCGATCGCGCATGGGGATGACCACGGCCGGCAATTCTGGCAGAAGACGGGGTAGGAGGGCGGGCTTCTGGGGTCCCAGGCCCCACGGGCCCCACAGAAACAATGCTCTACGCTGGATTCCGGTTTCAGGCCGGCCCGCCAAAGCCATGAGATGGGTGAATGGTAAGTTCTTCTCCACCGGAATGGGAACTCACATCCATCGTACATTACAGACACTAAGGACGGTATGTGTTATTTCAGTAATCAGACTGATCACAACACGCTAGCAAAGGGCTAATTAAGTGAGTGTATCAAGGAGGTCAAGGAAATTACAACACACACTGCTTCAGTGTTCATTCGACGGTCTTCGCCCACATGACTCCCGTAGGCCTCCAAATCCAACAAGAAACAGTGTAAAACCCCAGGTAAAGGGCACTATTACACCAGGGAGAGGAGCGATAACACAATACAGTTCTTTTCCTCCAAACTGGCGGGGAGTACGATTATTTCGTCTTAAGGAAATGTTTTATTACTTCCAGAAAGCATACAGCATCTCCAACTAGATAAAATTATGTTGCTCGCAGAGCTGGCTCGGCACCTGGGTTCATAAAGGCACAAAAGGGCTTCCTCTCTGCTGACGTGGAATTAACTTAATGTGTTCAGATGAACTCGGTTTGAGTATTATTTGGAACAATGAGGCCACGGTACAGGCAAACATATCTATCAAACAATATATTATTTTATCCCTTCAAAATTTTGTTTTAATTCCAGTGTACTAACAGACAGTGCTATGTTAGTTTCAGATACACAGTACAGTGATTCAACAACTCTATATGTTCCTCAGTGCTCATCAAGACCGACCGTACTCTTCAAGCCCCTTCACTTACTTGGCTCATGCCCCACCCACCTGCTCTCCAGTAACCACTGAATGGTATTTTTGAATCATACGATTATATCGTAGCAGAGAAAGTTTCCTTTCAAAACAAATCACAACTTACGAACGGGGTCAGTAATCACAGTTACCTCATTAGCCAGAACCTGAGAGTACTCGATGTCCAGTTCATACAGCGTTTCAATGTGATCGCTGGTAAACGCTATTGGGACCAAGAGAATGTTCTTCCTCCCCCTCTCACAAAGCCCTTTGATGGTCTCATCTGTTTGAGGGCCCAGCCAGGGCATCGGACCAACCTGTGAGAGAGGAGAACGAACACATACAGGGACCCCTTTCTGCCTCGTGTCTGTGACGCACCACAGCCCACCGCCCTGGACACACGCCCACACCCTGGTGAGAGTGAGCGCCAGGCTTTACATCTGCGTCAGTGGGCTTTGCTATTTCTATATTAAGCTTGAAGCTTCCTAGAAGTTGGCATAACATAAATAAATAACAATTTCTGTCATTACAACTAAAAATAAATAATACATCAAGTCAATGAAATTCAACTAGTCACTTGATTTCCCCTCCGTTTTACCTGCCTGCAGAGTTCTTTCTGCTCATGGTGAGCCACCAGGCGACAGAACATTCTGTGCATGTGGAAGAGCCAAATCTCATCATTTTATAACTAAGTCCTAACGTAGATGTCCTCAGCAAAGATGACTGTAAACGTGTGGAAGCCACCTACCTTGGACTGCCAAACCAGTCGGTAGGGGTTGGAGTAACCCAGCTTATCCATGACTCTCTGCACAGTGGCACCCACCTCCTGAGGATAGGGGTCCCCTCTGTTGACCACCTGCAGTAGAAACACAAGGGTGTTCAGCTGCCAACACTACGAAGGGGTCCAAGAACCTTGGCTTGTGCGGTGGGAGGGTGTAAGCCGGGGCCCTTCCCCTCCTGTACTAATGGGACACGATCTGAGCTCAATCACCAAACTTCCTCATTCTATTTCCTCATGCGCCAAAGAAGAATACCATACTCACTCCTCTCTAAGTACCTAGGACTATGGGAAATTCTACATTCCCTGCTATTCATAGGAGATTGATGTCTAACGAGGGAGGATGGGTCTTTCCGTTCCCCCATTTGAAATACAGAAAGCAGGAATCGAGAAGACTGTGTGGTCGGCATAGGGACCCGTAGAGTCCACGGGACCAGCTCCGCACAAGGGGCGAACGCCGGTGGAGTACGACAGAAGAGAGAAGCAGCTCACGGCTTCGGACTCCAGGCTCGAGAATATCACCTGTGCCTTCTAATTCCTTTTCTCTCCCCACTTTCCCCACCGCAACAGGTGCTTTGTGCACAGCAAACGTCTGATAACTGGTCCTGACACAACAGCTTGTTAATACTTTTGAAAATGTTCAACAGGGTGTGCCTGGGTGGCTCAGTCAGTTAAGCGGCCGACTTCAGCTCAGGTCATGATCTCGTGATCTGTGAGTTTGAGCCCCGCATTGGGCTCTGTGCTGACAGCTAGCTCAGAGCCTGGAGCCTGCTTCTGATTTTGTGTCTCCTCTCTCCCTCTGCCTCTCCCCTGCTTGCTCTCTGTATGTCTGTCTCTCTCAAAAACAATGAAAGTTAAAAAAAAAAAAAAAAAAAGAAAAGAAAGAAAGAAAAGAAAATGTTCAACAGGAATTTTAATTTTACTGCTTTAGCATTTAGCTGTGTACTGACTCCCCAACCCCTTATACTATTTCATTTAATAATGCTTATTAATATTAAACTAAGTATTATTTATTCCCACAATACGTATTACCTTCTAACATAACATACTATTTTTTTTCTGTAGTGTGTTTATTATCTGTTCCCCACCCCCACCTTCTGGGGGCAAAGATTTTTGTCTATTTTGCTCATTACCATATCCTACAACAGTGGATAGACCAGGAATATAACAGTGCTTAGAATACAGCAGTGGGTAGAACAGTGCTCAATAAATACTGTTGAAATAAAATCTTGATAAAGCTATTTTATGATATTATCAAAAGTTAGTTAAAAAGCCATTAGCATTAGACACCTAAAATAGAGTAAATGAGGGAAATATAAAGTTGCCAGTAGAACTACACAGAAATAATCACTATAGGCTAGATCTGCTGAAGGATGCTAAAATTAGTGGGCCATGGTCTAGGAATAAAGAAAGCATTTGCCTAGTGTCCAAGTATCTCACCTAAGATATTTTAAACTACAGAGAGAAGAAGAGTTACTTTGCAAGGTACAAACCTAGCAAGTACTACCTCAGGCAAATGGCCAAGCCTCACGTCACCAGTAGGAAGACGGGCTATCATCACGTGCCCAAACGCAATGCACTGAGAAGGACCGAGCAGCCTGGGGTGTTCTTCCCAGTACCACACAACCTCAATCTATTCATGAGAAAATGCCAGACAAATCCAGATGCAAAATAACGGACATTCCTCTAAGTCATTCTTCAAAAATATGAAGGTCAGGAAAGACCAGGGAAGTGTGAAGACGGTCAGGGATCGGGGGCTCCCGCCGAGACGTGACAAGGCGACACGACACATGTGGGATCCTAGACTGGATCCCAGAGCCAAAAGGGACAACTGTGGGGAGGAGGTGAAACCTGAGAAGGCCTGGCCCTTGGCTCACAGCTGCGCACCGCGACGGGGTCCCAGTCTGGGCCGGTGAACTGTGGCTGTGCAGATGCCCGCATGAGGACACGCGAAGGGAAGGGTGTACATACATACGTGGAGGAACCCTCCCTACTACTTTTGCCACTTTCCGGCAAGTCCAAAATTACTTCCAAATAACAAGTGTTGAAGAGGCATGGAGGAGGCAGGGTGAGCAGCGGCAAGGGCAGGGGAAGAGAGAAGCCCGCTGCAACAGTCCTGGGCAGTGCCGGTCTTCCCAGCCCCCGTCGTGCGCACGGCCCCGCACGGGAGCCCGCGCCGCGGAGAACTGGCCGCAGCGTGCCCGGGCCGCGGGGGAACGAAGGGAGGCGACCGACGGGGCGGAAGGCAGCACCTGGAACCGTTCAGGTGTAAAAACGTGCTTCGTCCCACCCCACCTGACCCCCTCTAGCTCCAGAGCTTCCCTCGGGCACTTCTGGCACGGCCTCATCACGCCTAGGGCAGTTGTGAGACGGATGCGGGCCGAGCGGCAAGCTGGGCACGCGAAGAGGCTCTGCACGACCCCGGAAGAGAGAGGATGAACCCGCTAAGCGGAAACAGGCAGGCTTCCGGAAGAGAGCAATGGACTCCCGAGCTTCCGCCCGCTGAACCCGCACCTGCGCAGTTGAACGCGGGAGCGGAAGAGCGGTCAGGGCCCGACCCCAGTGGCCACCAGGGGGCAGTGAAGACCGCCTGGAGGCGTGGCCCCAGACAACGGTTAACTCCGTTAATTCGGGAGTTAAACCCTTAATCACACCTAAGTAGACGTAATTCTTCGCCTCTCTGGCTTTGAAAGGAAAGTGCTTGGGGGGCAGTGATGGTTCTGAGCTGATGAAACTGGCTATTCCATGCACACCTCTGTACTCTGCAGCGCGCTGGCTCCATCGTTCTCATTTGCAATTGTGAGGCCACTCAGGCATGGAGGCGGTATTTTCGAGAACACCCGCCGTAGCGTGATAAACCAAGGAATAACCAGATGACAACTCGATACACTCCATACTCGCTTGCTAAAACGTGGGCTCTAGTCTCGGCAAATTAAAACCTGTAATTATTTCCCGGAGTTCAAACAGCCCCTATCAAGTCTTGACAAAAGAACGAGACTGAGATGGCTCAGTGTGAAGGGAGGCCCTTCGGTGCAAGCCACCGACTGGAAGGGCCGGTGAGCTCCTTCAACAGGGCAGGCACGAGCAGCCTTCCTTTGCGTGTTCCACCCACTCATGTACGAGAAAACTTCTATATAATACCCTCCTAGTGATCATTTAAAGAGGTTTCGTAAGACAGTATTTATTCACAGTATTATAATTTGAATTAATTATTATTGGGTTTCCAGGAATGAGTCTAGTTACGTCAGCACCTAGGTTAAGTCTGAGATTTTAGAATTCGTGCTTGCACTGGGCTCAGGATGTTCTGGAAGCTGGGTCCCGTTTACACATTCAGAAATCCTCTACCACTAGGTCATCCAGCAAAACGTTCTTACTTACAGACATGGGCAGTGAGTGAGCAGAAAAAAGAATGACCACCTCACTCCTCTTCTCAACTGGAAAGTGGTCCAGCTCCTTCACAATGTGGTCTGCAAAGCACTGAGGTAAAAGCGAGAAGGAGGTGGGAACAAAGAAATGGAAGGAAAAGAAAATATTAAATAAGAGGGACAACAAGAAATTTCATGGCAACCCTCAAAAACTGTAACTCTCTTTTTAAAAAACTGCAAACAGTACAGTCTCCTCTTGGCGTGGTTCATCATCAAAATGGCTCCTAACGGTTTCAGGGGCCTAGGGAATTTGATGGGAAACTTCTAAAGCTCGCTAATGGCTCACTGAAAATGAACGCTCTGGATCTGCTTCCCCTCGGGAGGAACAGGGCACACTTCCAGATGGAAAGGAAACACAGATGGGAAGAAGTTGTTTTAAGACCTCTCATTTGCTCGGTTAGCAGGAAAACAGCTTACAGGGTCTTTCTAAATCTTCCTTAGTTTGGCTTTCAGGCCTATCACATTAAAATACATTAGACAGAAATGGTAGAAGAATAAGAAAATACTATTCTATTTTTACGACCTTTTCCTTCTGAGCCCAGCGTCCTCACTAAGTCAATCTTCATAACAACCTTCATAACAACAGATGAGAGGTTGTACAACTCTCATTAAATTCACAGAGGGGGGAAGAGGCGGCCGACGTGGGGGCCCATTCAGTCACATCTGCGGGACCTGGGCTACAAGGCAGGCCCTCCTCCGCCTCCAAATCTCTGTCCACCAGACCAGTTAATTCCCTCCGTCTAGTTGGCTCTTTCCGATTTACATCAATAGGTGCTGAAATACCCGATCTGAAGAGGCTTTCTTTCATCTCACGCTTTAATCATTCCTTGTCATTTAACTCATAAAGCAAATGCTACAAAGGACATTAATGCGTCAATTGACAAAACTGGAATATGTGTGTAGATTAGATAAATTTAATATCAATGTTAAATTTACTGAAGCTGAATACTGTGTCACAGTTATGGAAGAGGCTATCCCCGCTATTTCGGTGGAAAGGGTGATTTTATAGATATAAGTTACTCTCAGAAGGTTCGGAAAAAAACACATATACATACACACACATGCTCACACACACAGCATGTAAATGCTAGCAGGTGGAATAAGTGTTAATAATACTTGAATCTGGGCAAAGGGTAGAGTTCTGTTTATTCTTAGTCTTGTAACTTTTCTGCATGCTTAAACTGACTTCCAAATAGAAAGGTTTTTAAAAAATTATAAAGGACGATTTACCAGAACCACGTACATTTGCATGTGTTGGTATTTTGATATATCAATGGTTAATACTATAAGAAGAGCAAATAAATTCCCTAATCAATACTGAGATACTATTAATCTTCCCAAATGCTTGAAATTTGGTAAATAAATGCACTAAGGTACAAGCAGGTGCCTAGAAAGTTTCCTTCTCAAAATTTATAATTTATCTACGGAGTAAATGTGGTAAGATTAGACACACACAAAACCAGTATTTTCTGGTCGTCTTTGCAGTGCTTGGAAACTAAGGATGTTCAGAAAGGATCTTGTTTGGACGGACAGCGGCCTAGGTAAGGAGGTCCACTGTCAAGTTTACGTAGGAGCCTAGAATATGTGTTTGCTCCAATTACCCCACAGCTAGATAAACAGCAGTATTAGAGATAACAGTAGTAAAATGACTACTTCGAGTAATTACAACCTATAACAGGTAGAAATGTAGAGTATTTTTAGTGCATGTAGTATTTTAGTATTTAGTATTTTATAGTGTTAGTTTTTAACTCTATTTTTAGTTTCCAATTAGTTGAGGCTTTGACTTTTTTTTTAAAGTTTCTGCTAGATAGCAAATCTCCTTATATCATTTACATAATATTAAGGATCTATCTATCTAAGCCTAAGTGTCCATCAACAGATGAATGGATCAAGAAGATGTGGTTTATCTATACCATGGAATACTACATGGCAATGAGAAACAATGAAATCTGGCCATGTGTAGCAACATGGATGGACCTTGAGGGTGTTATGCTGAGCGAAATAAGTCAGGCAGAGAAGGACAAATATCATATGTTTGCACGTATAGGAGGATTAGGAGGAACTTGACGGAGGACCAAGGGGGAGAAGAAGGGGGGAAATGGTGGGGGAAAGGGAGAGAGGCAAACCATGAGAGACTCTTGAATGCTGACAAAAACTGAGGACTGATGGATGTGGGGGGGAGGGGGGGATGGGCATGAAGGAGGACACGTGGGGATGAGCACTGAGTGTTATGTAGAAACTAATTTGACAATAAACTATTTGTAAAAAAAAAAAAAAAAGGATCTATCTATCTATAAACTTCCATTTCCAAAAAACTTTAGTATTTTTCCTTCTCTCGACACACAGAACTACAAGTAGAAACAATTTGTTACGGCTTACAACAGCCGCTAACACCGTCAAAACTGAGGAGCCATGGGCCGGCCGAAGTGCTACGTAAAGCATCCCCAGTCCATCTGCGGTGTTTTCTATGTACGATCTCTCTGCAGAATGAAAGAGGCAGGCGGCTCTCAGAGCCTTCAATCACGCCATCTAGGAGGGCAGATAAATACCTCTAACATCCCCTTTCATTTTGTGAAGGGAGACTTCCTCAGTTAAGAGACATTTCCATCTTTCTGCTTCCCCCCTTTTCAAAGGGCTGAATTTTAATGCAAATCTAATTACTCACTCGATCAGGGCAGGCAGATGCTGCACAGATCCATCCCTCCGTTCTCTGCTACCACATGTCGGTGCTGACCTGAAACCCCTAGTTCCCACCCACAGGCCTCCGGGAACAAAATGGTCAGGGCACACCGGGCTTTTGCGGCGCTAACTGGACCCAGCAAGGCAGCAAAGGGCACTGGGACCACAAGCACACCCATCTCTAAGGGAAGGCACCTTCTTTTCATTTTCACTTAAAACTGTTTTTAAACCTCAGCGTGAACCCCTGACATCACCTCGGTGCCCAAGGAACCTGGCCTGTTTTCAGGGAGAGCAGGCCTGCTTTTAAGCGATGTCTAGCACCATCTAGTGGTATAGATTTTAAGTGCCTCCAGGCTTTTTAAAAAGATGTTAAACTGGGATCTTAGCAGAGAATGTCCACAGAGTGAAACATAGACTGGATGAAACCCACATCACTTGATATGTCTCCCACCTAAACTAACTCAAAGGCAGAAGCCTCCTCGGACAGAACAAAACTGTATTTGTGCACCTTAGGGTAATTACCCATACTACACTCATATACAAATGGCAAAAAAGAATATAATCACACCAATTCAAAGCTAATGGCTTCTGAATTATAGTTTTAACTGATTCTCCAAAAATCAAGTGCTGTTAACAGAAATATTATAATATAATTGTGTGGGCAAAATTTGAAAAATCTTCTAATACATGACTTTCTCGATTGAAATGTTAAGTCTACTTTCACGTCAGAATGTGACAGAAGATTTAGTACCTTTAAAAACTTTCAAACATTTTATCATTTTAAAGGATTTAGAAAATACAGGATCTGTCGCTGATCCAATTGTGTAAATTAACTGAAACACTTTGTATAAACTTTAATGTCTTGGTTACTGGGAAACACAAAACCCAGGACATAATTCTGCTATAGTTTATAACTAACAGTGTTAATCCGAAGAAAAGAAAGACTCTAACCTTTAACCTTTATATTTATTTTCTCTTGTCATAATAAATCAAGACTCTAATACTTTGTTTTAATCCCAGCACACCATTTAAGCAAGAGAACAGTAAGGCTCAGAAGAACACCACGAACGAGGCAGGGACCAGAACCTGACCTGCACTGGAGGCTGGGCTGACCGAAGGGGGCTTACCTGAATGAGGAGGGGGTGTGTGGGCCACCTGTCAATCGTGCTCCACTTCATTGCAGGCCTCCTTCCCATTTCACTATAGTATCTGTAAATGGCATTTAAGCTGCTGCCTGAAATATACAGGGGACCACTTAGTAGATGCGCGTTGCTTATAGCGAAGATAAAGAACAGACTAGTGAAGGCAGGAAGTTCAAGATAGGTAACTGCTTCTATACTGACTCAGTCTAATCACAATGATTTCAAGGCTCTAAAATGCATATAGATTTAACTACCCTGCAAATGAAGATCACTAAAAAGCAATCAATTTCAATGGCCTTTCAAAGACCAGTGAGGCCATTTCTAGTGAGAAACATGACGGCAGAGGGATTTATAAAAGATGAGCAGTCGCTATTTGCAGGGACCGCTTCTAACAACTGAGAGCATGTTAATTTCTCCTCTCCCCCCATTATGAACGTGATCAACCCCAGCAGAAAATGTAGATGGGGAAGCAGTGTGGAGCCTAATAGAGACTTGAACTCATGAACATGAGATTAAGACCTGGGCTGAGATCAAGAGTTGGACACTTAATGGACTGAGCCACCCAGGTGCCCCTAAATGACTTGTTGATAAGAAGACTAGCTTATTCAGAGCAGTTTGTTAAGGTTTATGTAAGCATTGTCTATTTTTACCTGCTTCCACAAGATTACCGCCATTTCCCAGAGTAACTTAAATGGAGACCAAATCCTTACAAGTAATCTAACAAAACTTGTCTTTTTAAAAAATTTTGTTATTGTTTCCTTATTTTTGAGAGAGACACAGAGAGAGAAAGAGACACAGAATCTGAAGCCAGCTCCAGGCTCCGAGCTGTCAGCAGAGCCCAGCACAGGGCTCGAGCTCATGAACCATAACATCATGACCTGAGCCAAAGTCGAATGCTTAACCGACTGAGCCACCCAGGCACCCCAAATCTTGCATTTTTAACCAAGAGGCCAAAATCACAAAAACTCAAAGACTGAAGGAAGGCAGATGGTCCAACACAATGCAACATTTTCTCGGCCTCGTGGAGCTGGCCATAGTGGCTAAGGCTAATCCTCTGCAGCGCATCCTAACACAGAGCCTCTTCCTCAATCTTAACATAGGGCAGACGTTCCAAAACATTTCCTTGTACCCCAAAACCCATCCTGTGGTTTCTGTTAACTCTGAGGACTATTAATCTGATATGTCTCCACATTAAAATGCTAGCCGGAAGGGCACCTGGGTGGCTCAATCAGGTTAAGTGTCTGATTCTTGATTTCGGCTCAGGTCATGATCCCGGGGTCATGGGATCAAGTCCCATGTCAGGCTCCGTGCTGAGCATGGAGTCCTCTTGAGATCCTCTCTCCCCTCCTCCCTCTGCCCCTCCCCTGCTCACACTTTTCCTCTTTCTCTCTCAAAATAAATAGACACATAAAAAATAAAATAAAAATAAAAAATAAAATAAAATACTGGCCAGGATCCAGCTATACTTAAATCAAATGTACCCTTAGCCTAAACTTTATTTTCAAAAAGATGAAGGAGTTCCATTCTGGAATACAAGGAGGCAGGTACATCTAAATTGAGTCCGCGGCAGGCTCAAAAACAGTCTCTCCAGAAACCACGGAGAAGTCAGCATCACATTCGTACTGCAGGCCACCTTTTGCCGGTGAAGAGCATTTTCAGGACTTCTGAGGCCACAAAAGGACTTCTGGAAGCCACATTTGTTCTTCTGAGTCACTCAGAAACATTTGATTAACTAGCAGAAGTAGTGACTGAGGGGAAAGTGGAATGAAAACAACTGCACGTGACAGATACACAGCCCACACTGGCTCCGCCCCAACAGTGCGCATGCCTACAAGACACAACAGGTAAACAGCGCTCTCGCCGCCGTCTCAAAAAATGGATGCGCTTCCCAAAAGCTTTCGAGTCTCGAGTCTCGGAAGAGATGCACCAGTGAAACGCGCCAATGCCCGAAATTTGCTGAGGCGGCTACTGGCTGGGAAACGAAAGAAACCCGGAGTCAATCCTCTGTCATGCAAATAACCGTCTTCTGAACTTGTCTGATTCTGAGAGCAGACCTCTACATTTGAGGTATACTTTTTAAGCATGGCAAAAGTATGCTTAGAAATTTATAAAATCTGGGGCTCCTGGGTGGCTCAGTCGGTCAAGCGTCCGACTTCGGCTCAGGTCACGATCTCACGGTTCGTGGGTTCAAGCCCTGCATTAGGCTTTGTGCTGACAGCTCAGAGCCTGGAGTCTGTTTCAGATTCTGTGTCTCCCTCTCTCTCTGACCCTCCCCCCGCTCATGCTCTGGCTCTCTCTCAAAAATAAATAAACATTAAAAACAAAAACAAAACAAAGGGAACCTCAAGCTGGCCTTTGGTTTAACCCACTAATCAACCGATAAACGAAGCATAGCAAAAACACATACCAGTATCTCTAGTGCTGCCTGGGCACCTCTGCTTTCAAAGTGGAAACAGCTATCACCTTTGCTACGTTAATAAGGATGTTAGGGTTGCCATAAAAATAAGGTTTATTACGCGAGCGTAGAAAGCGGCGTAAGGTCCACTGCGGATCCATTCTACAACTGCATTAAAGCAGTGAGCACTAACAGCAACCGCCTTCCACCACCGTTTGTTAATTCTCAGCCGACTGGCCCATAACTCAAGGGACAGATGAACCATGAGATTTCAAATGGACTGACCTGAACGCTCGTGTTTAAAGCAGACAGGCTGGATTTGCCATTCAGATTGAAAAGGATTTAGCCTTTCCGTCCGCACTCAGGTGGCCCGCCTCTCCCTGCCGAGGCCATCCATACCCAGCATCCCACTGTCAAGGGGAGGCCTCACCTGTGGTGGAGCAGCTGTACTGTGGGTACTGCGTGAAGGCAATAGCCCTTTCGATCCCATCTTTCTCCATCTCTTCAATTGCTTCTTCTGTTAAAGGATGGACGTACCGGAATCCAATATAGTATTTGTGAGGGGCTATTAGAAAGCATGTGTGGAGAGGAGAGAGTATTAATCTTTATATAGATTCCTTGGAGTCGCCAAGCATAATGCAAAGCCAGGAACAAAGAACAGTTAACCTAATTTCCTATGAGGCGGATAATATGGGTAAGTTTAGAATATTCCTTGGATCTTATCCAGTCTTCAGCTAGTGCATGGACTTTTAATCGCTATTTTCTGGGATCGACTCCTATCCCGCCACACACACACCTTTATTTAGCACAGCAGTTTTTAAAATTCAAACTTCTGTTCCTTATTCTCTGCTCTTGGCTGAAATAAGAGAGACTCAAAGGAAGGAAGAACCCACACTTACTGCTGAGGTTCAGCCTCCTCTTATGTACCAGACACCGCGGAGGAGGCTTTGCTTGTATTTTTTTCTTTCACTTAAGCCCCATTTTTCAGATAAGGAAAATGGAACTCTCAGAAGCTAATGACCCTGCCCAAAGTCACACCTCACAGATGGTGGAGCTGAAATTTCACGTGGGTCCCCCCACTCCAGAGCCCACGCCTTTCCATGCCCCCCCAGCCTGCTTCTACCTCCCACGCTCCCTCCTCCTGTTCCCTCAGACTCCAGGTCAGTTGAGCTCTGGGATGCCCAACAGAAGTTCATGGATAACAAATGACTGAAATGGTTCTCCTCATCTAATAGCTTAAGGAAACCCAACAACAAATCTTAAATCGGAGGCACTAAGGGGGTGCCAGGGTGGCTCAGTCGGTTAAGCATCTGATTTTGATTTTGGCTCAGGTCATGATCTCATGGTTGGTTCGTGAGATGGACCCCATGTTGGGCTCCGAGCTGATGGCAGAGACTGCTTGGCATTCTCCTTGTCTCTGTCTGTCTGTCTGTCTGTCTGTCTCTCTCTTAGAGACACACCCACTCTCTGTGTGTCCCTCTCACACCTGCACTCTCTTTCACTCTCTCTCTCTCTCAAAATAAATAAACTTTTTTTTTTTTTAACGGAGATGGGCGGGGAACACCTGGGTGGCTCAGTCAGTTAAGTGTCCAACTCTTGGTTTCAGCTCAGGTCGTGATCTCAGGCTGGCGAGTTTGAGCCCTGCATTGGGCTCCGCACTATCGGCATGGAGCCCACTTGGATTTTCCCTCTCTCCATTCCTCTGCCCCTCCCCCGCTCACATGCTCCCTCTCTCAAGATAAATCAACTTTGAAACACACTCACACATACACACACACACACACACAAAATTGGAGGCACGGATTCGGACTTGAAATAACTGTTCCTGGCACTTAACCAGCCCAACTCAGGGCACGCCTTTGTTGTCCTTCCCCACGGGTTCCTTACAAACACCTTCTCCTGTCCTTCCTTTGTCCTTCTCCACCTTTTCGTACTGTATCTTAACAGTATCCACCACACTGGGCACCTGGGTGGCTCAGGTCATGATCTCATAGTTCGTGGGTTCAAGCCCCATGTCAGGCTCTGTGCTGACAGCTCAGAGCCTGGAGCCTGCCTGGGATTCTGTGTCTCCTTCTCTCTCTACCCCTCCCACCTGCGTGCTTGCTTTCTCTCTGTCTCTGTCCCTCTCTCAAAAATAAATAAACATTTTAAAAAGTTTAAAACAAAAGCACCCACCACCACACAATTTCTTAGGCATTTATAAAATCATAAAACTGGAAGTTTCCTCTGTCATTTCATAGGATGACACCTAACTCACACTCAGGGATGATACTGAGAATACACTACATAACCAGTAAGTAATAATGGAACCAAAGCGATTCTACTGTCCAAGCATTAGCAGGGGGCTGCCACTAAGTATGGGGCAGCAAACTGCCCCAAGAAGGAAAAGAGAAACATTCAGGTTAAACTGAAGGGAAAGGGAACCACTCTTGTTCATCTGTCTGCATAAAACATCCCACAGTGACTGGACACGGGGAACTGGCGATCTGTGGCGCAAGTTCGCGAGGACGGGAGCGGACCGTGGGGAGCAGAAGCATGTGCGTGCTCAGGAAGGACGGCTGGTCCAATGTCCTCCGGCCGGGCTCCGCAAAAAGAGGAAGGAAGGGGGGGATAAGCGGAATCATGTTCAGCTGTCTGTTCTCTCTAGGCCACCAATTTTTTGTTCTCTTGCCTAACTAGTGAACTGCAGTTAAACCACACCAGAGGGGGCAGGACTCTGTAAGCCAACTCCAAATGAGAGTATTCAAGGATTATGTGGTTCATCCTAAAACTGCCAACTTCCATGCTATTGAGTCCATTTCAAAGGAGCTCTGGGGCATCTAAGCTGAGGCTGAAGTGGAATTTACTTTCTAATCTACTTTGAGATAATACTATTATTAGATTTCCACGTAAGATCCTCCAATGCTCCCAACCAGCTTCTGGCATTTTCTTTTCCCCTTCAAAAAGCTGCAGCCTAAATGCTTGGGGCCTGGGAGTTTCTGGAATATTGCAGACAAGAGGGGTGGAGTGGCAGCTCTTGCAGATAAAAGCAGGGTGGTGACCTCACTTTGATGTGAGAGTGAGTAAAATATTCTGGAAGGAACAGATAAGCCTGCCTAAACTGTCCCATTCAAGATGGCCTGCACAGATCTTCGCCCAGTGGCAATATGCTCCCTCTCTGACTGGGCCTGTCCGGAGAAAAGAACAAATGTTTCCCAAGGACCCCTCGCCAGTCGGGATGGGTTTCACACCGCAGGCGGCAGTCACCAGCATGAGCACAGGGACAGAAATAGCTTCCTGATGTTCACCAACACATCTGGCAGGTGGCACATCTGCTCCGGGAAGACCAAAATACATGACTCGATGGCCTAGCCTAGTCTACCCTTGGAGCCACGGCCCAGCAAACAGTCTTTGATGAGAAGCAGGAAAAGAAGGAAAAAAAAAAAAAACAAAACTCAGAATTGGATTTTTAAACAGTGAAACTTCATTAATTTCCAGCCCATTAATGTAGCTTTACAACAGTTCAAATGTCTGATCTGTGCATGACTCTTTGAGGGAAAGGTGTGAAATACATAGCGGAATGCTTTTCAATTTGTATCACATCACGAGCCCTATGCCCACAATGAATAATGATAAACGCTCACAGTTAAGGAATTTTTGTCACGTGAGGTGCACCAGGCCGATGCCTTTCAGGATTATCTTATTTAATATTCACAATGATCCTAGGAGTGGGGCTCTGTTAATGGGGCTCCCATTTTCAAGATGATGCTTCGTGGGGTAAGTCATCTGCCTAAAGTCCTACAGCCAGGACTGGGGAAGCCGGCTCCATCCCGAAAAGAACAGAGTTCTCCTACAGGGTAGCACTCACGGATTCATGAAAAGCGGTCAGATTTGACGTAACTCAACTATCGTGTTTCGAATGTATTTCAGATTTACTTTTGTGAAATGATGGCACTTCTCACCTATTTCCTTCTGTATTTCCTAAGTTCCTATAATGTGGTGTAACCATAAGAAACCAGTTCTAAGGTATATTCCCACGTAAAATTGACCTTAGGTGTTAATAGTCAATTCTGCGCAAAGCCAGAGTGAGATGATTAGTTTTATGCCAGCCACCAAGCAACAACTACTTCCCTAAAAAATGAAAGCTTGAGGGGTGTCGGGGTAGCTCAGTCAGTTAATCGTCCGACTCCTGATTTCAGCTCAGGTCATGATCTTGAGGTTTGTTAAGTCCGAGCCCCTTGTCGTTCTTTGTGAGGACGGCGTGGAGCCTGCTTGGGATTCTCTGTTTCTCTCTGTCTCTGCTCCTGCCCCCCGCACAAGCATTCTCCCTCTCCCTCTCTTTTTCTCTCTATCAAAAGAGATAAAATAGGGGTGCCTGGGTGGCTCAGTCAGTTGGGTGGCCGACTTCGGCTCAGGTCATGATCTCACGGTTTTTTCGCGCCCCGCGTCCGGCTCTGTGCTGACAGCTAGCTCAGAGCCTGAAGGCTGTTTCAGATTCTGTGTCTCCCTGTCTCTCTGACCCTCCCCTGCTCACACTGTCTTTCCCTCTCTCAGAAATAAAATAAAAAAACATTTAAAAAAATTTTTTAAAGGAGAGATAAAATAAACTTTTCTAAAAAATGAGAGCTTGAAACATTTCTGTCTGTTCATAATCATCACATTGTTTTGCCTAAAGAGGATTTTGCCCAATAGAAATAAACAAATAGACACAGTTTAAAAGTATACTTTATGATTTTGTAGGGAAGGAGGGGGAAGGAGAAAGAAAGGAACAGAGGGAGAGGCAGAGAAGCCAGAAAGCAGGAAGGAAAAGCCACACAAAGGGGGTGAGGCACCTGGGTCTTCATGACTGGGTTTCTGCTCCCCCAAAGCAGTTTCTAAACCTGGAAGCGATTTCATTTTTTCTACATCTGCATTCTGTACGATCATTGGCCCTCATACTCGTTTTATACAGCATCTCTCTGGTAAGTCCTAAGAGGTTTTCTCTCTGCCCCTTAAACAGACTAGCCTGCGGCAGCAGGGTCCCCCTGGACTGCAAGCGCCTAAGCAGAAACCATGAGTTTTTTGGTTTTTTTTTTTTTTTTACAAATAGTTTATTGTCAAATTAGTTTCCACATAACACTCAGTGCTCATCCCCACAAGTGCCCTCCTCCATGCCCATCCCTCCTCCCCCCCCCACATCCATCAGTCCTCAGTTTTTGTCAGCATTCAAGAGTCTCTCATGGTTTGCCTCCCTCCCTCTCCCCCACCATTTCCCCCCTTCTACTCCCCCTTGTTCCTCCGTCAAGTTCCTCCTAATCCTCCTATACGTGCAAACATATGATATTTGTCCTTCTCTGCCTGACTTATTTCGCTCAGCATAACACCCTCAAGGTCCATCCATGTTGCTACACATGGCCAGATTCCATTCTTCCTCATTGCCAGGTAGTATTCCAGAAACCATGAGTTTTGAATATGAAAACCAGTATGGAACGGTGCAGGGCACTCAGTGTGCCACTGACAAGTGAATGAGTGGACGTTCTTGGGCCTCATGAAGCACCACTACCTTAGCCCCAGAGCAGGTCGGCCAAAGCCGTCCGGTGGCCATCCATGCAGGCGAGAGCAATAATTTAATGTGCCTGCCCAGAGGGTTCCAAGCATGAGCCACAGAGGACAGCGATAGGTCAGAGGGTCGCCAGTACCAAAGCCCTCCCAGGACCAGGCCCTGGACAAGCTTGTAGAGGAACTACGAGTAGCCCCCTAGAGAATTTACTCTCTGCCTCAGTAAACACGACCAGGAAGCTCACTCCATGAAGGTAAGGGTGTGACTTATTCACTACTTTATCCCTTGTGCGATCAGTGCTTAGAAATATCTGGTGGTTGGCTGGGTGGAAGGAAGTGGGAATGAAGGTGTGACAGAGCAGGTGTGTGAGTGAGCAAAAGGGCAAGTGAAGGCAGGAAGCGTGATTTCTTGGGACATTAGTAAAGTGACTGGACAGGCAAGCCACTGAGCTGCTGGTGCCTCAGATACCCTCAACTTATCCCCAAAGTTAGAGTGAAGAAGAATAAACTCACTTCTTCATGTAAGTCTCTGTACGAGAGAGGGTCATATGATCAATTAGTGGTTTTTAAAAAAACCGCTCTCATAATTCTGACTATGAAAATGTGAAATGGATATTACTATTCTTCGGTCCCTGCCAAAGCGGGGAATAATCCTGGAATCTAGATGATCGTAACTTCCTTTGTACTAGATGGCCACAGATTGAAATAATCAGATGTCTTATAGTAAGTGAGGCACTGGGTTAAATCCAGGTCCTTCCATAGGACTCTTTCCAGGCCAACGGAGGAGGCTGAGGGCCCAGCTAGACCGTCTGGTCCAGACAACCCAGCAGCCCCAGCATGGAGAGAGGAGGAGGTAAGAAGGACGTCCTCCACTTGTATTCCTTTTTCAAGTCTAACAGCTCTGCTAGGGTCCTTGATGGTGACAGAGACTATTCTACCAGGTCAACAGAGAAAAAGGCATCTTGCCACCTCCTTTTTCCACTGGAAACAGCACAGCAATTGCAGATATGATTCACACTAAATCTTTTATTGTGATAAACTGTTAATGACCAGAGAGAGGGTTTCTTCTCTGTCAGGTGGGTGTGACTTTCCCTCACCTGACATTTCCAAGATAGTTGTGGGATGTGTGGCTGAATGGCAATAAGAAATGCCCTTGAGCCACAACCAAGGCAGGAAGCAAACTCATATGCAAAAGCATGATTGAGCAATTTTCCAAGGGAGACACGCTGAGGGCTGCGGCCTCTGTCCCCGTGTGTGATGGGACACGGTGGCTTCTGAGAGCAGCTTGAGGTGACACTCAATGGTGCTTTCTCAGAGGAGTGTGAGATGCTCTCGGTCCTGCCTGGCGGGGCTGCTGTCCTTGAGGGTGGCCACCGTGTCATACCCCTGTCCTGATTCGGAAGCCCCAAAATGTATCTGTATTTAATGTATTTCACATGTCCTAAGATGCACATGTCACATGTCCTAAGATGTTTTCTGATTTAGCTATTTCTCATATTGGTCCCACATCCGCAACAGATGCTGTCTTACAGCTACCTGGGAGAGTTTTTGTCTTAGGAAATATAAAAACAATGGTGTGTCCCGCAATCAATGGCGTCTTGAATGCAATTAAACATGGCACTTATAATTCGTTCCTCTAGTGACTGCTCCAATCTGCACATTATTATTCTGCATTAGAGGTTCCCAGAGGACAGTCTCCAGATGCACACAGTCCTCTTCTCAGGGCCTCACACTGGCTGATGTTGTTGAGAGCCAAGAACAATTGCGTCAAGTTGCTTACAGTCTAGTGGCTGCCGCAACGGCAGCGAATTCTGCTCTGTTCTGCTCTGTTGATCGAGTCAGCACAGAAAGAAAAGGCGCTAACAGCAGCCCCGATCCATTTCCCAGAGATATGCATCTTGTATTTATGGTATGTGGTCTCTCTTCCTTATAACCTAGCTCAACTTCATACACACCTCAAGGTTCCTTTTGAAACCAACGTTCCAAATCTTTAGCTCTTCCATCTCTAACACGAGGAAGGAACAGGCTACATAGCCAAGGCCAGGAGAATGCCTCGAGCACTGAGCTAAATGACCGCGCGTCACACAGGACCCCGCATGAACCGAGAGCTGTGGGTACACAGAACTGCACATGCCATCCAGTAGTGTTGCAAATCATACCTACTTTGAGAGAACAAAACTGCGATATTAATGAAGAAACGCTGTACCTGTGTTGGGGGACAGGTCATCCAGCAACTTCACCATGCCTTCTCCTTGCTTGGAAGTCCACATCTTGATGGGGGACCCACCTCCAATCCTGCGGTACTGCTCCTGAATTTTGGGGGTTCGGCGTTTGGCGATGATTGGTGCCAGCTTACTAAATCATTTAACAGGTAGGTAAGTGTCTTTTATTCCACCTTAGCAACCTCAGAAATTACTTAATAGAAAAGATAAGCAAAATTGTAAGAAGAGCTTAAGAAGATTAAGCCTTTAAAAACAGAAGCTTAGGGGGCGCCTGGGTGGCTCAGTCAGTTAGGCATCCGATTTCGGCTCGGGTCATGATCTCACAGTACGTGAGTTCGAGCCCCGTATCAGGTTCTGTGCTGACAGCTCGGAACCTGGAGCCTGCTTTGGATTCTGTGTCTCCCTCTCTCTCTCTGCCCCTCCCCAGACTGCACGTTATCTCTTTCTCTCTATCAAAAATAAACGTTAAAAAAAAAATTTTTTTTTTAAATAGAAGCTTAAGGTCGTTGATGACAGCCAGCTCTTTCAGTCTTGATTAGAGAGAGAAAACAAAACACTCTCTGAGGACCAGCCACCTCTGCCCCACGAGTTACTCTCGCAACACACCCTCACAATTCAGGACACCAACCATTCAGGCACAGACCCTAGATGCGTGCCAGCCACCATCTTAACACTTCCTGATCCGACACCCAGTAGGAACTAGGATATATAAGACATTCAGAAGGAAAAAATCCTCTTACTTTAAGAAAATGTATATTAATCACAGATACATTTGCATATGTGAGCAAAGACGAATGCACAGCACAGGGATGTTTATTGCAACACTATAAACAACCTACATGTCCCCCAGTGAGCCACTGGTTAAATAAATTATGGTAGGACCAGGCAAGGCAATTCTATACAGTCATGAAAAAAAAATAATACACCAGGTCTATATAGTCTTTTTTGGAACAATCCCAAATATAGGTTGTTAATTAAAAAAAAAATAGTGGTGGGGCGCCTGGGTGGCTTAGTCGGTTAAGCGTCCGACTTTCGCTTAGGTCATGATCTCGCGTTTGTGGGTTCGAGCCCCGCGTCGGGCTCTGTGCTGACTGCCAGCTCGGAGCCTGGAGCCTGTTTCAGTCTGTGACTCCCTCTCTCTCTGACCCTCCCCTGCTCACTCTGTCTCTCTCTCTCTCCTAGAAATAAATAAAAAAAAAAACATTTAAAAAAAAAAATAGTGGAGTGTTAAATAATACATATAAGTATATCCCCATCTGTGTTAATAAGGACAGGGGGATAGATATGTGCATATATACCTATACATCTATATTTAGATATACAGACATGCACATGCTTGGATATGCACAGACTGTTTCTGGATGTGACCAGAAATTCATCTGTACAATTACAGATATCTGGATTTCTGTATTTCCGGTAAAATCTATGACCTCCATGGTGGGTAACTGGGAGGCTGGGGTTCAAGAAAAGAGACACTGCTTTTCACTGTGAACAGGTTTATGCTGTTTGCATTTTTTATCACCTGCATGTATACATTTTTCATTACAAAAACCTACTTTAAAAGAGAAAGAAGGAAGGAGGGAGGGATGAAAGGAAAGGGCAGCCACAATCCATACTCACAGTATTAATGAATAATAATCACTGCTTCCCTGAGTATTCATCAGCTGTTTAGGGCTAAGTACAAATATGTCTGTAACAGTCTTTAAAGGAATATTAGGGGTGCCTGGCTGACTCAGTCGGTTGAGTGGCCAACTCTTGATTTCGACTCGGGTCATGATTCCAGGGTCTTGGGATAGAGCCCTGAGATGGGGTCCATGCTGTGCATGGTTCTCTCTGCTTAAGGTTCTCTCTCTTGTTCTCTCTCCCTCTGCCCCTCACCCCTGCTTTGCACTCTCTCTAAACTAAAATTTAAAAAAAAATGTAAAGGGATATCAGGTGTGTCAAGACAACTGCCATTTCCAGAGCTCTAGGGAGGAAAGGGCCCAAGGAGAGCCCCCCCCCGCCCCCGCTTGCTTTCTCTCTCCCCTGCATCTCTTAACATCATATCCTTCTTCTTACACCTCAGAAAAAATAATAATGCTGCTCTAGTCACTACCAGATATGCATGAAAAACGTTTATTTTCTGTAACTATAGAACTGAGGTACACGTAAGGCAAGATGCACCACACAAGTTAGAAATAAGTGCAGGTGTTTCCACATGTCTTACTTTTGAATAGGAAGCGTCATGAGGTCTCGGTCCAGGAAGAGCCTCAGAAGGAAATCGTGAACATCTTCCAGGGTTTCGGGGCCCCCCATGTTCAGCATTAATATTCCAGTCTTCGGCTTCCTGCGTAAAATAAAATGCAGTTGACTTGTAACTTTTTATTTTCCTCTAGGGTACAATTTTGGTTCAGCTAGCAAACTAACTCACATCCAGTCTGTTCAGAGGTACAAACCCACAGATATTTTCCCTGCTATCACCTGGCTGCATGTCTGGGAATACACAAGGCCTCCAGTTCTGCATGGTCCCAGCTCTGACTCTGACCTTGGTCTCCCAGCTCCATCCATGGCACTGGTCTTCTCGGGGCTTGAAATATTTCTCCATTAAACTGTCAGTCCTGAACAGCGATTCCTCCCATTCTTTAGGGACTGAGAGTCAAGGTCTAAAGCTAAAATTGTCCTGAGGCTGAAGCAAACATTTATGTGAATGTTTTACAGATAGATAAATTACTTGGTCTCTCCAAACTTCAGTCTCTTCATATACAGAACCCAGCAATAGCTCAAAAGGTTGTTTTGAGAATAGATAGCATAAGGGCGCCTGGGTGGCTCAGTCGGTTAAGCATCCGACTTTGGCTCAGGTCATGATCTCACGGCTTGTGGGTTCAAGCCCCACATCGGGCTCTGTGCTGATGGCTAGCTCAGAGCCTGGAGCCTGCTTTGGATTCTGTGTCTCCCTCTCTCTCTGACCCTCCCCTGTTCACGCTGTCTCTCTCTCTCTCTCAGAAATAAATAAAACATTAAAAAAATTAAAAAAAAAAGAGAGAATAGACAGCATAGTTATTTAGCGTGATCTGGAACATACAGTAAGTTCTATCATACACAGAGAAACCACGGATTTCCCTTGTAAACCTCCGCAGTAGAATAGTGGCCCATCTCTCATTCTTTTATCTGCTCCTTTCCCTTTAGTTAACGATTAAATTATTCCTGACAAATGATTTCTTGCTACTCTGCTTCCTTCTCCAGAGCCTGCCAGTCCCCCTTCCTCAGTGTCTCCTGTGCAATAAAGTGTGCGTCTCACTTTGCACTCACCTCTCCATCCCGAAGAGCCATTGCCTAAGAGGTGCTGGCAAGAAACTGCTCTAACTTATTCAAATAGGTCCCAGGCTAAAGAATCAAACACTTGAAGGAGCAAGAAGAAGCAAGAAGAAAATCAAGCAGTTTGGGAGAAGTTAAATAAACAAAAGGACCATGCAAACCCTGAGCCTAAAATCCAGAGGAGCTCTGGACCCTGCACAGACTGAAGTGAGCCAGGCCGAGAGGAGTTCACCATTCCTAAACACCTTCGGGGGTAAGATGGTGCCAGAGTGGGACCAGGTGCCACCCACATGCTTCCGGGAGCCGCCGGAAGCCCAAGGCTAGAGACGTGGAACCATGAGGTCAAAGCCTGAGATGAGGCCCTGGAGAACTGGGGACCATGGTGGGAAAGAGTCTGCAGGTGGGGACCCTATAGGACAAGGAGTGTTTCTTCCATTTGTGCTTTTATTTTTTGCATTTGTAAAAATTTCAATAGAATTTATATACCATAAAAATTTCCATTTTAAAGTGCAAGTCAGTGGTTTCTGATATGCGCACAAAGCTATGCAACCATAACGACTATCTAATTCTTAAACATTTTCATAACATCCCCCCCCCCAAATATTCCCACACACTAGAACCATTCCCCATCCTCCCTCCTTCTCACTCCTGGCAACTAATCCTCTGCTTTCTCAGTCTGTGCATTTGCCTATTCAGAGAAATGGAGTCACATTAACATGTGGCCCTTTGTGCCTGGTTTCTTTCACTCAGCACAAAATGCTCAAGGTTCATCCATGTGATAGTGTGAATCAGTACTCCTTTCCTTTTGTATGGCTGAATAATATTCCACAGCACGGATGGATGCACTCTCCATTCACTCTTGATAAAGTAGGTGACAAATAACCACCCTGAAGTTTATCTAAAACACCATTGGTACAGATGCTGAGGGGTCCCACTCTCCAAGCCTCCTGAATGAAGGTCACCTCCAGCCACCGCAGTGACCAGCCCAATCGTGCAGACATGGATCTTGTATGGAAGATTGTCCCTAATGTGTGCTAACGCCAATGAGCTCAGGATGGCTTCTAATTGCAGTTTTCAAACAAGTGCTAACATTTGGGATCATGTCAGGCAGCAACCTGTTAAATTCAAACAGGTGGAAACTGTTTTTTTGACCAAACACACTACCGGTGAATGAGGTAGAAATCTGAAGTCTCAGCCTAAATTTGCAAAATAGGAACCAATTCATGGGGCTGGGGGAACGCTGCATTCCAGTGACATCAGAGATCTTCCAATTTAGACCCCAGGGTGAGGATGATCTAAGTTCACCTCTCACATCATTATCTTAGATGGTATTTCTCTTTCGCGGCACCACTGACATTTTGGGCTTTGCTGTGGAGGGCTGTGCTGTGTGTTGCAGGGTTCTAGAAGCATCCCTCCCTCTACTTGTCAGATGGCAACAGCACACACCCCGCCCCAGTTGTGATAACCAAAAACATCTCCAGACATCACCAAATATGTCTGGGGCTAGGGGGGAGGAACGTCCCCCTCCCTCTACTGAGAACCACTGGATTAGGGGAAGGGGGTTTAATCTGCTTTTTTAGTAAGCATCTACTCTGGAAGATGTCAGCATCCCACAACTCTTCCACCTCCTCTGACCAAAAGTCCTATCAAGGAATCAGCAAGCTGGTGTTTAGGGTTTTTTTTTTTTTCTTAATACCTAAAAATTCCAGATTCATTATATTGTAAAATTGTAAAATACTCCTTTAATCTTTCCACTCAGACCACCCGTGTTCTGGGATCCCGTCTCTCACCCTCAAAATCTGTGACTCACAATAAATTAAGCGCATTTTTCCATGGATTGCTGCCAGTTAACAGATTACTGGTTAAGAAACCTCAGGCTAAGAGACTTACCTAAGCCACAGAGGGTATCAATGTGCAAACGAGATTTAGAACTGTTTTTCATCTATAACACCTGAGCTCGGAACAAGAGAGGCTTTAAATTGGATATGACTCTGCCCTGCAAACCCGTGTTTTGTAAACCGTGTTGATCTTACACATGAAAGAGATGCATGATTTGAAAGTACCTAAATACACATGCACTTAATTCAAAACTGTGTTATGCATGATGAATGGCGCATTAGCTGCCCTAGTCTGACACCCTCTATTGGAGAATATGAAGTGGAAAGCCATAGCTGTGGTCTCTCCTCCCCTCCAGACAGAGCCCATCTGAGACCAAGCTCTAAATGTCAAGTTCCCTTTGTTTGAACATAAAAGTATAAATAGTGTAACATATTTAAAACTTCTCTCGCTTGAACAGGTTTCAACATTCTGCCATGTTTATACTCTGGGACTGTCAAACTGTGAGGTTTTTCCTTTGAACTATTAATTGTACATAATGGAAACCTAAGATCATCAATGAATAAATAGAATAATCCTATTACACTGTATGTAGTCAGCATCAAGATAAAGAAACAAATTCTACCTCCTGATTAAACCTCCAGGATATAATTGCCCTGAGGATCTATGCTGCCTCCAGAACAGGGTTTGGCAAACTACAGCCCACGGGCTATAGCTGTACATACACACCCTGCCTGTTTTTGTAAATAAAGTTTTATTGGGACACAGCTCCACTCATTTATTTTACACATGGCTGCTCTCACATTATAATAGCAGAATTGAAGAGCAGCAAGAGACCAAATGGCCCACTATCTATCCCTTTACAGACAAGTCTACTGACCCCCGGGCTAGTGGAGGTCTTGTCTGGCACTGTCTGGCACAGTCTGCAGGCTACATGGCACGGGGCTTCGTGTCTGGCACCAGAATGATACACAGAACCCACTGATCACTTCATCATCTCTACTATTTAAAAACTAGACATAATGCAAGTGCCCCATAACATGGGAATGGATAAACTGTGATTTAATAAAACACTCTTAAGCTATTAAACTAATGGTGAATATTTATACTTATATAAATATTAATAATATATTAATTATTATAAAATAACATAAATATTATTTTATATTTAATATATAATATAATATAAAATAATACAAATATTTTATATTATATTATTTATATTATTTTTATAAAATTATATTTTTTAAAATTTTTTTTAAAATTATATTTATAAAATTATAATAATATAAATATTTTCTATTTGATATATAATAATAATTATATATAATAATATAAAAATAATATAAATATTATTAAACTTAGAAAGAATTATAAAAAATACGTGCTCAGGATTGTCACATTTTGGTAAATATTCACTGAATAAATAGCTATACGTACAGACGTAGAGACAAAACACTGGGTGGTGAGATTATCAGTGATTTTTTTCGTTTTTTCTTTTTGCCTGTCTACATGTCCTAAAATGAACCCATTTCTTTTGTATAAAGATGATATAAAGTTATTTAATGTAATTTATATATTTTTAGATTTTTATTTAATTTTGATAATTTAATATTAAGGTTATTAGGTTATTTATATTATTGGCTTTTGCCACTGGGATAATATAGCAATGAAATAATTTTTCTCCCAGGTTCCACACTGAATCAGTTCCTCAGGGGACATCACATACTCCCCCTAAACCCCAAGTACTTAAAGCACTTTGGGCCATGGCTGAGGTGAGAAAAACGGGGCCGTGGAGACAAGCAGGAACGGTGTCCATGCCACCAGAACAGAGACAGCATCCCTGCTTCCTGTTTCTTCACTAGATTCAATCACTGGGGAGGCCAGAGAGTTGAAAAGAGATGATCTGAGACCCCACCCCTAATGCTCTATCCTTCGCCCGCCAAACTGCCGTTTACTCAGTGTTCAGACAATGTCCCCAAGATCACACAATGACAGATAACAACCACAAAATGGGACTATTTTCATAGCTCTATCACTAGAAGAACCGTCAAGGAGTTACTACTTCCCACCCAGTCTCCTTCTTTCACTCCGCTAGCGTTAAGGTGAGTATTTCTAGGTAACCATCTGCATAACTGCCCGCTCGAGTCCTGTGCTCCTCCCATAGCAGAGGAAGACTTAAGGAGAACAGTGGCTTCCACGATGGGAGAGGAGGTGTGGAGCCAGGCCGGGCCTGCTGACGTCCACCCACAGACAGCAGGGGTGACGTATGAAACAGGTGCTTTATTCCTTCAATAAATCACAAATCATATTATGTCATTTCAGATTATGCTCACCCTGTTAGCAGTGGAAAACAATGGCAGTTTGCTAGATAAATTCTTGACAGATGAGTCATTCCTTATCCTATACAGGACATACATTTCGTAGGTATAATTATGTTAGGTTCATAAATACATTTCTAGCGTACATATAATTTGTGTTACATGACATATTCCAGAACTAAACTCCTACATGATTTGCAGGCTGCTTGTACTGAGTTACGTGTCCTTTAACAAAGCCCTGTGGGGTTTCTGTTAATTGTATCTCAAAAAAGCTGGGAAAAAATTTTTTAACCTATAAAAAATGGGGGGAAATTTTTAATAAAAATTTTTATTCAATTAATATTTTTTAATTATTTAAATTAAGTTAATAAAAATTTTAAATCTATTTTTAATAAAAAATTATTAAATTAAATTTAAAAAACTTAATCTATAAAAATTCCCCCAAAATGTTAAAACCTTAGGGGGGTGTGCGTGTGTATAACTTGTAGTTTTCCAGCCACTGAAAGGAAGCCAAGAACACAACACTGCCCTTCTTCCACAGGGGCATTCCCAGCAGCCTTCCTCTTAAGGCAGCCTGTATCCACTCGCTGGTGTCTGCATCAACAGAAAGAGATTCTTATTAGTACCCCAAATTTGAGTCATACCTCTTCCCCGGTTGAACTTGAGGTTTTGGGCTCCTGGCACGCTGGGCTGTTTCCGTGGCAGCTACCGCCGTGGCTCCAATCGACTGGCCCCTCCATGGCTGGCGGGCCGCTGAGCTGCCATGCACCACTGTGACAAAATTAAAGTAGCGGCATGAAATCTAGCTGGGAAGCAATGTCCTCAGAAGATCCTCAGAGCAGAAGGGCCTGGACTTAAAATTTAAAGAGACGCTAGAACACGTGTGATTTCCCCAGCGTTTCTGTGGACGTGGGTAAAGGCACTCAAGACCTCTCTGCCAGGGGTGGGGTGGCACCCCTGGGATGGCTTCGCAGGATCTGCACGGAGCCTTTTGAGAAACACACCTTCTCACTCTGCCCTGGCGGATTTTGCCACGATCCCTCATGAGGATCATTGCGCATATGCGAAAGATACAGCAGTGCGCTGCTCACACACAAGGGAGAAGCCTGCAGGGAAGGTTCAGAGCCACTGCTTTACGGAGTGGTACTTGAGCCAGCTTTCAACCAGTTGCACAGACCTCACACCTCCAATAAAGCCTCAGTGCTGAAAACCCAGCACTGCCCTTGGAACCTGGCAAGGGGCAGGGGGCTCTACTTTAGGGGGCCCATTCCGGCCCTCCCCCTGCTGCAGCCTCCCCCACAAGGTCTGCAGTCTGCACAGCCAAGGACTCATGGACCCCAGAGCCCGTGACCTACACCCCTAACCAGGCTCCCAGTACCCAGGGCCCAGAATTCCCTGTCCCCAAAGGCTCACGCCCACCGCAGGGCCTGTACAAGACTCTCCTAGCTCTAGCCTCCTGACAGCTGACTGTGCCATCAGTGCAAGCAATTCTTGACCTGAAGGAAGCGATTTGCAGGGGCAAGAATAGAACGGGAACCTAAACTGGGGTGCCTCCACAGGGGTATGCACCAGACTCTTCACAACGCAGGGCACAGATGGCAGTGGGAAGCGAAGCAGGGAAGCCTCCAGACCTAGGCAACGTTCCCCAGGCTGCGACATTTCGGTAGGAACTCTGGAGTTCAACAGTTCACCCTTCCAGGTCATTAGGAAGGTCTATTTGCCAGTATCAGAGACGAGAATGTATTTGACAGCTTGTTAGCTTGCGATCCCGCATAGGACACATGGGGCTCCGTGTGCACGTTCTCCTGGGCCCCACCAGAGTTAGCTGTGGGCCTGGAGACCCAGCCTGAACTGAGAGGTCCGTGGGCCATCCTTAGCTGTCGCATGAAGAATATTCATCCTTAAGTGGCATACGGTGAAATTAAACTGAAGCTATACAATAGACACTCAAGCTGGCAATGTGGGGACAGTGGTTACTGCTGTGTCCACACTGTACACATGACCTCCCTTCCCTGTGCTCACACCAGCTGATCTGAAACCAGCTTGAGATCAGCCTCCTTCTGCCCTCCTCCTACTTCCAAGTCAGAGGCGTCCTGGTGAGGACCTCGGGCCGTGGACCAGCAGCTCTGACCGCACACAGCTCTGCCTCGCACCAGTAACATGACTGGGGCCAAGCTATCCTCTTTCTGAGCCTCAGTTTCCCCAGTAAACTGACAACATCTTGCTATCAGGATCCTTGTGACAATGACAGCAGATAGGACCAGTGGAACACTCTACACAGCACCTGCTGCATACGATTAGTGCTGGCATTCGTTTCAGTTTTAAGTGTCTAGGGCATAGGGACTACACAGCTGATGTTTTTTCACCTACCCTGCCTGTAAAATATAAGAGGATGGCATCTGCAGATTTCCAACGCTCCATATCGTGCACATTCCCAACAGAGCCAATTACGTGAGCTTGTGCTGAATAGTCCTTATTAACTCAAAGTGGAAGTGCAAAGATTGACATATAGAAGTTCAATTCGGCTCAAATGAAGTCTCAAACCAACTCACATCTCCTTATTTTAGACAAGTTCAATTCTGAACTGCATGAGATTTAATGGGGTTTTCAATCAGGCCACAACGTCTACAATTCCTTCTATGAATGAGATTGTATCGGATTCCACGGGGTACTAGAATAGAATTTAGGCATTACATGATTTGACTGCTGGTTATAAGACTGCCTCCTGTGCATCTTAAATAGGGAGTGGCAGAAGGGAATCCGGTGAGACCGGAGTCGTCACCTAGTGCGTTAGTTATTTCCTAGTACAATTTGGGAGCTGGTAGTTTTCCAAGCTGCCATGCCCTATACTCACAAAATCCTCTTCTCTGTGGCTGAACAAATTCTCTGAGGGCAATGCTGCCAATAACGGATCCTCTGTGCTCAGGACTGAGCGTTAATATACCCACCTCTCCAGGACTTCTCTGTAACACTCCTCTCCCCTAATGATCAGAAGGTTCCACAGAAACTATGTGTAGTCTCTGACCAAACAACTAGTATACGTGTAGCTAAAGGAGTTTTGAGTAATTATTCAAAGGACCAGCTGAGACTCCTGGATACATGCAGCTCAGAGCTTAAGAGAAACCAAAGAACTCAAAGAACTGCTCCAAGCCTCACATTTCTCATCTGTATAATGGTGATAAGGTCAACCCTGTAGGGCTGTTGTGAAGATTAGGAGAAAATGTTTAAATCTATGTCCAGCGCCAAGAACAGAGCCTGGCACACTGCATGTGGTTAAGCAAGAAGTAAGAATATTCGATAGCAGGGACCTGGCCACTTCGGAACTGAGACCAGGTATTCTAACCCTACTTATGACATGAACTGCTGCTCTACTTTTTAAAGGCCTAAAAACCATACAAGCTATAAATCTAGGAAAATGCAGAAGAGATTATAAAGGAAGCAAAGCTTCATGACTCTTGGATAAACCCAAAAGGTGAAGCATTCAAAAGTATATATGTGACTTAAAGAGGTTCATGGGTATCAACTGGTTCTCCAAAACCAAATTATGTAATATGTAGGATGCTTAGGGGTGGGGCACAGGAGGGTATTAAAGCAAGGTGCACAAGTACTTTAAAATATAATGAAGCCCTTTTTAGTTTTTAAGTTTATTTATTTTGAGAGACAGAGAGTGGGACAGGGGCAGAGAGAGAGGGAGAGAGACAATGCCAAGCAGGCTCTGCACTGTTAGTGCACTATTAGTGCAGAACCTGATGTGGGGCTTGAACTCACAGACTACGAGATCATGACCTGAGCCGAAGTTGGACGCTTAACTGACTGAGCCATCCAGGCATCCCAGAGCCCTTGTCCATCATAAAGGAGATGAGATTTATTACAAAAGGTACTTATAGGTAACATTTTAAAAACTAACAAATAACTGGGGCGCCTGGGTGGCTCAGTCGGTTAAACACCCGACTCCTGATTTTGGCTCAGGTCATGATCTCATAGTTCGTGAGTCTGAGCCCCACATCGGGCTCTGTTCTGAGCCTGCTTGGGATTCTTTTGCCTCTCCCTCACTCTCTCAAAAACAAATGAAGTTTAAAAAATTAAAATTAACATAAATAACATCCAATATTGTGACTATTAATAAACACTTGGGGAGGGAAGGTTTTAAAAAATAATTATTTTCTTGGGGCGCCTGGGTTGCTCAGTCAGTTAAGCATCTGATTTCGGCTCAGGTCATGATCTCACGGTTCGTGGGTTCGAGCCCCGCGTCGGGCTCTGTGTTGACAGCTAGCTCAGAGCCTGGAGCCTGTTTCAGATTCTGCATCTCCCTCTCTTTCTGACCCTCCCCTGCTCATGCTGTCTCTCTCTCTCTCTCAGAAATAAATAAACATTAAAAAAAAATTTTTTTAATAAAAAATAATTATTTTCTGGTATGGCACCAAAATGTTCTAATGTCCTTAATTTAAACACTAATAGTCTTTTTCATTATTCTAGAAATTTTTTTCATTATTTTTTTTCTAATTATAAAAGACCTATATGCTCAGTGTAGAAAATTTGGAAGGGAAAGGCAAAAATAAAAAACAGTAATTCATTAATCTACCAACTTTCTAATTTAAAAATATATGTAGTATATACAGTACACGGCCCACACCAGGGAACGTGTTACTGATTCTGTAATATGCTAAAAGCTTAGTATAAAACTTTGCTTTTGCACTTTTACTTGCAGAATTTTCAGAAATACAACCCAATTTTTTCTAACCCACTTCATGTTATTTCCTTCATATCAACAAGATGATTAGAGTATTATAACGACTCTTCAAAATCAGAGTTCATAATTCAATTGGACTTCAAATCCACGTTTGTGATGGGTTCTGAATCCTTCCGCTTAGTTACTTATAACCTGGAGCAAATCACGCTTTACAGGCATCCAGTTAATCTCCATGGCAAGACTGTGAAGTATATTACCTTTCTCCTTTCCCTTTACCAAAGCTCAAGCCAGGTGAGTGACTTACTCAAAGGGACACAGTTAAAAATGCTGCAGAGTTACGGTCCCCACCAGGTGTTTCTCGCGTTTACTCGCATCAGCTCGTCCTGGAAGCAACCTACATTCAAAATCTGCATCAGAAACATGCTTGGCTGTCAGTAGGTCTTAACTCGTTCGTCTCCAAAAGTCTCTAGGAAATACTAGCCCAGACTCCCTCACGGTGGGTGCTGCTGTCTACGGACAAGTGAGCCCCGGGTGACGCCAGGGGCTAGAGCCGAGCAGCAGTGGGCACACCGCGACCTCCATCACCAGGGAAGGAACCCCATGGGCGATGTCCGTGGTGATGACGATGATGATACCTTCGTTACCGTCCTCGGGGTAGGTTCTTCACACGCCCTCCCTCCCGTAATGCTCACAACAACCCCGTGACGCTCGTTATTCTGATTTTACAGATAAGAACTAAGGTGTAAATAAACCCCGGCACTGCTCATGGCAGCCCAGCTGACTCATGGTGCTACGGGACCCCTCCCGGCCGCGTCCCAGGGACCCCAGACGACCCGAGTACCTCCTCCCCGGCTTCTCCCAGGGGAGGGCCCCTTTCCGGTCCCTTCTCCAGGTCGCCCCTCGCCCCATAGCACCGAGCTTCCTGCCCCGCTCCCGGAACCCCACCCCCAAACCGGAGGGCCCCGAGCTGCCCGCTGCCCACGCCGTCGCAGGGACCCCGGCAGCGGCGGCGGCCGCGACAGCCTCACTTACGCCGATCGCGGAGCAGGACTCCCGCAGCTCGCATGGCAGCAGCCATGTTTGTGCCGCCTGAGAGCATTCCTGGGGCAGCTTCGGCCCGGGACTCGGGCTCCTCCCGCGGCGGCGAGATCCGGTGTCGGCCCGGGAAGCTCCGCGCTGCTGGCACCGACACCACAGGCCGCCTTACCTCAAGTTGCTGCCCCCTGCGCCCTCGCGGCGCGCGCGTTCATTCGCTGCCGGGCCGGGCGGGGCCCGGCTCGGGGGCGGGGCCAGGGGAAGACACGCCCCTCGCGGGCGCCCGCCCCCCGCACGGGGCCGTCCTGGGGGTAAGAGGGGCGGGGGGCTGTGCTAGCGGCCCCGCCCCCCCAGCCGGCGGCTCCAGGCCCTGCAGCCGGTCTCCGGGTCCTGATCACCCTGAACGAATTCGCTGGTGGCATCTGCCAGTCTGGCCAAGGCGGGAACCGCCGCCACAATTTAGCAAAGGACTTTCCAGACACTTCCAATACTATTACTTAGATATGTGAATGCTTTTGCCTCCCTTCTCCAGCTGGCTTGCCTCGTTACAGTACAACTGTGCCGACCCTGTTTTGTTACATGCTTGGTTTTCTGAATACGAAAAGGAATTGTTTTATATGCGACACTCATGAATGACATATTTAATTTTTCTGTGGCATCTCTACATACAATAGGCACAGTTTGACAGGTGAGACCAGAAAGCAAACATGCTGCTAACATGAGAACGTTAGGAAAAGTGAAGGCCAGTCTGGCAAGTGAGTTTCTGGGAAGGATGGCATGGTGAAGTTTGCGGGTATAGCCGCGCACCTTCGCCAAGTAGCTGTCTGGTCCCCATCCCTCACACGCAACAGGCACCGCCCTCATTTCTAGCCATTCCTGCATTCCCACACCTCCACCTGCCAACCCCACCCATTGCCCTGTGCACCTTGGAGTACAAGACAAACCTTAGAACAGAAAGATCTCAGACATTATTCATTCTTTAAACTAGTATTGACCACCTACTGTGTGCACTGGAAAAACAGCAGTGAACAGAGAAGACAAGTAACTTACATGAGGGTTAAGGGAGAGACAAAATAATCAGATATGTATTATTGGGGGTGATGATGAACATTAGAAAGAAGGAAATAACATAAGGGAGATGGAGAAGGGGAGACTAGAGTAAGTTGAAAACCACTTTTCTGTAGCTAAATTTGTTCCCAGTTAGTTTGTTATTAAAGTTGGCCTTCCTACCTCATCAAGATAAAAAGCTTCTGCACAGCAAAGGAAACAATCCATAAAACTAATAGGTAACCAACGGAATGGGAAAAGATAGTTGCAAATGACATATCGGATAAAGGGTTAATATCCAAAATCTATAAGGAACTCACCAAACTCCACACCCAAAAAACAAACAACCTAGTGAAGAAATGGGCAGAAGATATGAACAGACACTTCTCCAAAGAGGACATCCAGATGGCCAACAGACACATGAAACGATGCTCAGCATCCCTCCTCATCAGGGAAATGCAAATCAAAGCCACACTGAGATACCACCTCACGCCAGTCAAAGTGACTAAAATGAGCAAATTAGAGGACTCTAGATGCTGGCAAGGATGTGGAGAAATGGGCACCCTCCTACACTGTTGGTGGGAATGTAAACTGGTGCAGCCCCTCTGGAAAACAGTGTGGAGGTTCCTCAAAAAATTAACCATAGAATTCCCCTAGGACCCAGCAATAGTACTGCTAGGAATTTACCCAAGGGATACAGGAGTGCTGATGCATAGGGGCACATGTACCCCAATGTTCATAGCAGCACTCTCAACAATAGCCAAAACATGGAAAGAGCCTAAGTGTCCATCAACAGATGAATGGATCAAGAAGATGTGGTTTATCTATACGATGGAATACTACATGGCAATGAGAAACAATGAAATCTGGCCATGTGTAGCAACATGGATGGACCTTGAGGGTGTTATGCTGAGCAAAAGAAGTCAGGCAGAGAGGGACAAATACCATATGTTTGCACATATAGGAGGATTAGGAGGAACTTAAGGGAGGACCATGGGGAAGAAGAAGGGGGGAAATGGTGGGGGAAGGGGAGGGAGGCAAACCATGAGAGACTCTTGAATGCTGAGAACAAACAGGACTGATGGGTGTGGGGGGGGAGGGGGGAGATGGGCATGGAGGAGGGCACTTGTGGAGATGAGCACTGGGTGTTATATGGAAACCAACTTGACAATAAACTATTTGTAAAAATAAATAAATAAATAAATAAAGTTGGCCCTCCTTGTGGTTATAAGCCAAATATAAAACATCAAATTAAATGCCTTTCATATCACCTACATGATCTTCAGAACCAAGTAGATGTCCCCTGAGATATGGACAGTAAAACATGCTCCAAGTGCCAAACTGCTCTCCTATATATTCTGCTAACTCTCTACCTTCGTAATAAAATTATATTCATTTAATTTGCCCTTTGGAGGTGATCTTTATGGTGTACTTCTCTGCCTAAAGCTTAAACCCATTTCTTTTAAGTAAGCTGCACGGAAAGCCTCTACATTTTGAAATGCTGTGCTGGACAAAGTGTAGACAAGTCCTGAGAACTAGGAAAGGCTAAGGGTTTTAGAAGTTTGAGCTGCATAGGCTCATAGCTACTCTCGAAGGCTCTGGATAAGTCACCCCTGCTTCCCAGGGCTGTGCCCCTTCTGCTAGGTGAAGATAACAAGGGGCTTCTGGCCCCTCCTAGAGAAATGCTGATGATTAGTGACAATGCACAAAGGTGCCAAATCTCACATAATCAACGTATCTGACCAGAAAGTAAAAAGGAACTAGCAACACATGCTTCATGGAATATACCCACATAACATTTTAAAAAATGAATTAGCAGTTTCACACATTTTTTAAAAATTATCTTTAACATTTATTTATTTTTGAGAGACAGAGAAAGATAGAGCATGAGTGGTGGAGGGGCAGAGAGCGAGGGAGACACAGAATCCGAAGCAGGCTCCAGGCTCTGAGCTGTCAGCACAGAGCCTGATGCGGGGCTCCAACTCAGGAACCGTGAGATCATGACCTGAGCCGAAGTCAGATGCTTACCTACTGAGTCACCCAGGTGCCCCAGTTTTATACATTTTATTTACATCTTATATTTTCATTTTTACTAACTTAAAAAAAACATTCAAAATCCCTTGTGTAGAAAACCTGCTGATGCACATATTAAGACTCATAGGTTGTAGGTGGAAAAAGAACTTCATTATTCTTCCTGAACAGAGTCTCATAAAAACTGTTATTTCTAATCTCTGGCTTATTTCTTACAAACATCAAGTTTAATAGCTTTCCAACAAGTAAATTTTTATGTTTTTATGAAATGAAAACAGGTAAAATATGTTTTATACTGGTTGTTTTCAAAGCTGATTAGAAAACCCTTAACCCAGAAATTGTGAATTCTAACCCAGAAAAAACCTTATACAGCTAAACAAATTTATAAAAGTGTAAGAGATTTGTGTGTGTGTGTGTGCAAACATCCATATAAATGCATTTTTTTCTAGCTTACATATCTGTAACAAAGGTATACACCACTTCTCTTAGCAAACAGAAGGCCAAAGGCACAGTCTCTGGGTCAACTCGATAAGCCACACCCGCAAACACACAGGAGAAGGGCTGTCTGAAACTGGGTGACTTAATTAGTGAAGAAAGCACTCCCCTGTCACAGACAGCCCTCTGAGTTCAGCCTTTGGTCCTAAATAAAATGAACTTGTTGGTTTCAGCTCAATGCTTCAGGGAAGGGCAGGGGGATCACCTAATTCGTTATTTGTCATGATTGGCACCTCTGAGCTACAACACTAAATTTAGATTACTCAATTCTGTCTCCTTAATCAGAAAAACAACAGGGCAAGAAGGGGCGGTGTGCAGTACAAGAGAAACCGTGGCTGCGTGTGGCCGACAAATGGTGAGCTATAATAATCACTCTGAGAAATCTAATCGATTGTCCTCACAATTGTTTTACAGCAGAGGCCACCAGAACCAGGCCAATGTGGTGTGCATTTTGACTTCCTCTCTCAACCACACAGAGCCCAAAGCCCACAAGTGATGAGGGGTTTATTAGTCCATCTGTACATATTTACTGAGAGTCCACAATAATCACAGTATTATATCCGGCAACGGGAAGGATAAAAAAGTAACGAGTTAAATGTACTCTCAGGGAGCTCATTCATTTACAAACCAAATAGCATGGGGAGCCTACCTATGTCAGGTACATAGTATGCACTGGGTTTGCAGCAATGAATTGGGCTGTTTCTACTTTCATGGAACTCACACTCTTTTTTTTTTTTTAACGTTTATTTATTTATTTATTTATTTTTGAGAGAGCGGGGAGGGCCAGAGAGAGAGAGAGAGAGAGAGAGAGAGAGAGAGAGGAGAGGGAGGGAGGGACAGAATCCCAAGCAGGCTCCACACTGTCAGCACAGAACCCGGTACAGGGCTCAAACCCACAAACCGTGAGATCATGACCTGAGCTGAAATCAAGAGTCAGATGCTTAACCTACTGAGCCACCCAAGCGCCCTGGAACTTACATTCTTGGAGGCAAGGAAGACATATATACCTATATAGGTATATATGTGTGTATATATATAGTTATATACACAATATAATGTCAGGTATGACTAGGGACCATGAAGAAAAGTAAAAGAGGTAAAGGAGTAGAGAGAGGCAGGAACTGCTAGTTTCAGGGGTGCAGCTGGACATGGCCTCTCTGCAAAGGTGGCATTAGAACAGGGGACCCATGGAGAGTGAGGGGGGCTCGCTGCAGAAGGGCTTTGCAAGTGGAGGGGTCGGCAAGGCAGGAACACATCTGAAGCTTAAGTTAGTTCCCTGGGGCTGCTGGGACAAAAAAATACCACCAACCAGGCGGTTGAAAACAACGGAAACACACAGCTCTGAAGGCTTAGAAGTCTGTAAGCAAGGTGCCAGCAGGACCACGCTCCCTCTGAAATCTATAAAGGAGAATCCTTGCCCCGTGTCTGCCCCGCCATCCTTGGCCATACTTGGTCCGTAGCTGCACCGCTCCATCTCTGCCTCCATCATCACAGGACTTTCTCTCTCCGTGTGTCTGTCCTTTCATAACCTCTCATAGGGACACCAGTCATATCGGTGTTTCATTGAATACTGGCCTACCCTAAGGGCCTAGCCTATTGACCTCATCTTCAATTAATTACATCTGCAAAGACCCTAGTTCCAAATAAGGTCACATTTGCAA